ACCACCGGCTCGTCTGCCAGAATAAGAAAACCTCTTGAATATCCAAGAAAATCCAACCTACAGCTTGAATAATGAAAGTACGAAGATGCACGTTTCAAAAATGCACGGTTTCGTGTGGTGAAAGCCGAGAGAAAAGGGCGCTTAACGGGTTTCCCTGTTTGGAAAATAAATTATGCACCTCATCCCCCTGCAAGTTATACGGCAGAGGTCTTATTTTAATATTTGCATAAGTATTAAGTCGAGAATCTAAGTTTTCATAAGGGTGCCTCCTTCACACATCCCTAATATCATAGGATGAAATTTTCTTTGTTATTTTTCTACCACCCTTCCTGAATGGAATAAGAGAATAAACGTCAACGTGGACCACACTCGGGGAATAAGGATTGTCGAGAAGAGATAACTGATCTTTTGTAAGCGTCTCTCCTACCTCTCGTCCTTATTGTTTATTATATCGAAATCTGTTAGTTAGGAGACACAGAGTAATGGAATAAAAAACAATTTCTTTTGCTAAGCTTTTCCAACACTTCGAATTTTTCCGTTCTTCTGTTTATCTTCAATTTCCCCGCACAGTTCTATGTTTATTGTTTTAGAACTTAGTCGTAATATAAAACTTCTTTATTTCTTCGTAATTTGTTAACTTTAGTAGCGTCGAAAAAGCCCTTTCTCAGTTTATTTCAATTTTTATGAACATTTAAAATTGTCTGTTTTCGACTTGAAAACCCTTTGTAATAATGTATAGATGAAACATTTCTTGAATCGTGAGATTTTCTGATGGAACCTGATGAACATTGAGCTCCGCGTTTCTTATCAATTAGTTATTAACGGCGCGTCTTTTCGCCATCATCAGACCAAACAACCATTTATGGTTTCAAGCGACTCGTTACGACCAAATTAAATCACAAAACAATAGTTTGGTTTAAGTTACGACTTATCGTTGATTTCCGCTATATACCTGAAAAAATAGATTTAAGCTGTTAGATTCGGAAGAAAACTTCTTCCTTCGGAAATGGAGCTACATATGTTAGTGGCATGACAACAACTGTCAAATAGTTCATAAGTCAAGAACACTTTTTTAAATTTCTTTTTTATATATTAGAGTTCACATTTATGTTTGAAATAAAAAGTAATACAAAACTCACCTATGGGCTGAACTTCGATTTATTCTGAGCAGAAGACACAGCAGCTTCATTCTCGTCAGCCCTTATTATTTGAAAAAACATCTCTTTACATGTTTAATAACATTTATAACAAAAATAAAACTTTATTAAAATCATACAGTTATTATAATTTATTTACTTATTATTACTTATTATATTATTATAATAAGTTTTTTTAAGAAGTGGCTTAGACGTATGCTGAGTTTGATGCAACTTAAAGAAAAAGTAAAAACTAAAATTAAAGTAACAAAACTAAAAAGTAAATGTTCTTAATTAAATAATATTCCCAGATCGGTTGAACTTTTTTATATTTTATAAACATAAACAAAACAGGGCTTATTTTAAAAACAGACGATGCAAGTAAGCTTACAATCTAACAACCACTCAAATCTCACTCTACAGGCATGTCGGGCGTATTTAATTAACGGACGAACATCTGTCCCTCAGAAGGTTTTTCTGGCCTAATTAAGAGACTTTTACCTCCCTGAGTTGTGGACATACACCTAAGAAATGATAAGAATCCCCCCTTTCATTTAAATTACAGAGCGAGCACATTTCAATATTCGAGTTCTTTTATAGCCTTGGCTTGTAATTCAGTAAGAGTAATTTGTCCCCAAGTTTAAGAAAGCTTCTTAATTCAACCAGATTCAGGTTCTCTTGTACCACTGGTTCGATGAATTTACTAATCTGTCATAATTATCTTATACAATGAAAACCGAACAATAGTTGTTGCACGCTGTATAAACTCTTCGTGATAAAGACTTATAAACAAAAAACAGAACTGCATAAAAAATTACGAGAATATTTTTGGGACAGTGATCTCTATTATTTGAACTAAAAGGTTTTCTTTTCTAGTAGTCGAAGCGCAGTAATTTTGGAGAAACGGAAACCTGGAAGAGATAGGGACCACAAAAAGTGATAACCATATGAAGTGAGAGAGTAAATGAAAATGAGGAGACATTGCTGTTTCAATGGTACGGCAAGGAATGTTTTTGTAAAAAAATCGCTTAATTTTTTGATTTTTTAAGTTAATCAATCAATTTCATTGGAGGGCTTAAAAAACCGTAAGGTTTGATAGCCGTCAGAAAAAGATTTCATTGTTCACAATAAACTTCAATCCTATTGATTTTTTTCTGCAGAACAAGCTGAGGTCTGAGATAATCATAATGTCATCGGCGTAGAGTGATATTTTTATTCTCGTTCTACCACACGAACACCACCCTTTATAAGCGAGATAACATCATCAAAAATAAAGAAAAAGTACTGAACTTAAGACACAACTCTGTCGTACACCCAGAAAAAATTCCAGATGCCTCCCAGACCATGAAACGCAGAAACTGCAGAACAATACAATGTGTTTATGATATTATAAATTTTGACGAAATTCTCTTACTGAAGACATTTAGATATCATGCATAAGATCTATGGAATCTATGCTCTAAGGTAGGTTTCAAGTAGGCTGGTTTCAAATCAATTAAGAAACAATATAACGTATTGTCTTTTTCATGCAGCTTCAGATAATAACGTTTATATTTTCAAAGTGATTTTTATTATTATTATTATCATCGACAAACTTAATGTTGAATAAGTTTAGAATTAGAATTCAAAAGTCTATAGCTGAAAGAGTTGAATTTATGCATGCAAAACGTGTTATTTTAAAAACTCATTTTATTTTCAATTATACATTTATTCCGACTATAAGGTATTACAGTGATAAATCACACATTTTATTCTCTTTATTTCGGAATTTGCCTTTTGTTTGTGGAAAGACTTGACGGGATTTTGCAATTTCCGTTCCTGACTGTATGCAAATTTGAACAGGGCTGCAGCAATGCAGGAGGATTTAACGGTGATTAAATAAAGATTAAACATTTATAATGGAGGTCAATAATAGCTTATGACGAGGCGAGAGGTCAACGGAAACGGGGAAAATGATAATTACAGCTAGGCCATTTCCATGATCCCGTTAATCATGGAAGGCAATCAGTTGCCAATACTGATGTGTTTTCAATTCCCATCGTCATTCCCGAAACGACTGAAAATGCAAACGGGAAATGCGTTAGCTGGCCACCCAACCGATTGCAGATAGTCAACAGATTTTGCAGTGAAAAGGAAAATCAAAACAATCTAAAAACACTTTCTTTTTGTAAAACATTTCTTAATATAAGATAAATAAAGATATAAACGCTAACAAAGACTAGTGATATTTCAATTACGTAAATTATTTATGTTTATAAACCTTGATTTCTTCAAACTAGTAGGTTTATCGTTTTACTCATTTCTTGCTTAATTATCTTAATTTTTTTACTAGTTCATGATTAATTAAAAAATAATTTGTTGGTGGGTTGTAAAAAGTTAAAGGTGAAAACGAAACTGCACACGACCGTAAGTTTGCTCTGTTAAAGTCGACAAAACTTACCAAACGAGTAAAAAAAAACCTCCACCTAACGATAACGTCCAATTATAACGGCCCTGAGGAAGGAAAAAAGGGCCAGCTGTTGCAAAGACAGCGATCAAGAAATTCCGTTATGGAAGCAATAGTCGAAGGCCAAAGCCAAGCTGACGAGTGGGATTCGAACCTTCGGCTAAATCCGCCGCTGCTCTACCACGTGAGCTATCGTGACTTCAAAGAAGAAGTTGGTATTATCTTTAGTTTCTATAACCCAAACACCTATCATAATTATCAAGTACTAGGCTATTTTGCAGAGCTTCTTTGGCCTATGTCAGTCTCACTCTATAGGATGATATTACATCTGCTATTATCCACACGGATGATGTTAGTTCTTCTATTGTTGGAAAGTGCTTGAAAGTGGTTCTGCTATTTGTGTTATGACCCTATCGATTCTCCCGATTGTCGAAGACTCGTCAGCTTGGCTTTGGCCTTCGACTATTGCTTCCATAACTGAATTTCTCGATCGTTGTATTTGCGACAGCTAGCCCTTTTTTCCTTCCTCAGGGTCGTTACAATTACATGCTACCCATAGGTGGAGGTTTTTACTCGTTTGGTAAGCTTTGGTCGACTTTGACATAGCTAACTTATGGTCGTGTGCGGTTCCGCTTTTACCTTTAACTTTTTGCAACTCAACGAGAACAAATAATTTTTTACATTAATCATGAACTAGTAGAAAAATTAAGATAATCAAGCAAGCAATGAGTAGAAGCGAAAATAAAGTCCCGCTAGTGACACTGACTTTTTTTATCTCGACCAATACCTTGCATAAAGATTGATTAATTGAAATAAATTAATAATCGTATTGTTTTCTCTCACTAGACTGACTATTTGTTTGAAACTTGACAAAAATTGGTTCCAATTCAAATGTTTTATTTTTGATTCCTCATCCTATTATTTACAACTCTCTTGTTAAAATAAAGTACGATAAACCATTTCGAACAGAAAATTAAGAATTCTCCTTGGAAACCATTACTCGCATTTTATTTAATTAGCAAACGGGCAATTATTAAAAAGTGGATGTTGAAGGAAGGTTCACAATTTATTCGGAAACAGGGCTGTTAACGCTGAACGAGCAATAAACGATTCAAGGTGTAGAATAGGGTGCCATGGAATGGGTATCTTCGCCAATTCCGACCGGCGATAATTTTATGCTAATGTTCGTTAGGCAAGGCCCGTCCCTTGCCTTTTCCGCCCCCTAAGGCCCCTGATACGATTGAATTCTGTTGTTGGGGGTATTCTCGGCACGAATTCGACGCCGGGAAAATTTTGTAATTGTAATTTACCCGCCAATGAATGAGAAGGAGTAACTTTGAATAATTGTCTTTTTTATCATAAAAATGTCTATGTCATCGGTTGTAAAGAATTGCCACTAAAATTGATTTTCTGTTTAGGTGGATGGTGACCTAACGTCAGTATAGAAATGGGACCACTGGTAAGTCATCACTTGACTCAATTCAAATATTCTTTACTCAAACATTAATAATTAATAAAATAACAAAAAAAGAAGGCAATCTTCAATACTTTATTATATAGAGTGACATAAAGTTGATATGTGACTACTGGAAAGAAACTATGACTATACCTACCAGGCCGATTTACAATATTAGGTCTGATACAAAACATAATAAATTTTCTTTTCTAAATGAGGTCATATAAGATTATTACGGAAATAAACAACAATAGAAACCTTTTTTACGATCGCGTGAAGCTTGACTTTTAAAGCCTATTACAGTCAGGACGCATTCCTCACACAAATAACCAAACAAATTATATTACTATACGTATCGTCATTTTTTTTTTTGCCGCTGGATTCGAACCCGGGACCTTTACCTTCAGTGATGAGCGCCATGTCAACGCCTAAACCGTTAGCCACTGACGCCCCCTCAGTTTGTTAACACTGTATTTAATATAATATTTTTTTCATCATGAAAAATTCTCGATGAATTGTATTTCACGTTTTATATTAATGTAGATTGATACGTATTGTTAAAGATTCTACATTTTGTTAAAATTCACAATATACTTTTTTTTTGTCGAGAAGAGCATTTGTAAATAACAAAAAGCATGAATAACTAGGCCCTTTTGAAACATTAGGTCGAACGAGCTCGCAATTTGTTTAAACCGGCGGCAGTCAATTTAATGGCCTCTTAAACTAAAGTGTAAAAGAAGAAAGAGAAGTAGACAGTTGGGAGGCAGATTCTCTTTTACTGCCGGCTCGTTTAATTGCTCTGAGATTTTGTTGGGAGAGACTTATTGAAGGGAGGAGGGTGTCCTCGATGGGCGGAGGCGGAGGCTTGCTTCACGAGCACGCCAATATTGAAAGGCTTTGGAGTTAATCTGATCGCTTCCTTGGGAGTTACCAAAATCAATTAAACCCTTCCCCGAAAGATGGAATTTTGTAAACGGAGCTTATTAAATTATACTAGCATTTTGAGCGGTATTGGTTAACTACAGAAATTTTATATTGATTGCTATTCTGACCCTGTATAACTGCTAAGGGGTCTGGTATCCTTCCTAAAGCAGAAGGAAAAAATAAGACGTTTTAAGAACAAAAAGTGCATAAAAAGTCACTTGATATTAAAGTAAATTGATCTAACTCCCATCCGGAAAATAAATATATACGCTAATTTCACGTCGATCATCGATAGTACGAGTCGGATCGACAAGATGTACGAAACTATCGACGTTGTGAATATACAACACTAATTTCAATAAAGCTATAAGGGGCGTCGGTGGCCGCAACGGCTTAGGCATTGACACGGCGCTCATCACTTTAAGGTAAAGGTCCAGAGTTCGAATCCAGCGGCCCTGTATTCGAACCCGACATACTTAAAAATGTGCGTTTTTTCAAACACACCGGCACCCTGAGGGTTTATATGACCTCTGCTGTTGTGAACCCTCGTTAAAAAAATTAATAAATAAAAACTAGAACTAAAAATAACTATTTTAGGAAAATAACTATATTCAAGTAATAAGCGATAACCTAACGGAATAAACTACATAAATATTTATTTACTGATCAAATTAGCCACGAAAAAAATAAAATTACCTGCAGCTATCGGGTAACGACTTTTCACCACATTAATTTAAACAATATAATAGCTTATATTCTACATAATTACTAAAGAAACGATTTTATTTTAGACTTTGAAAAACCTACAACTCTAATATTCGGCCTAGAGCACAAAGCAATATTATAGCTTACTTGCGAGATTTGATGACACGTGTTCTGCTAGTCCGTATGAATATATTGCTAATTTGTTTAGCAAGCACGAGAAGGATTTAAAATATCCTAAATATAAACACAAACGGTTGATACAGATAATGTTTGTCGTTGATTTAAGTATGGTATCTTATCTAATCACACTATCTTTTATCTAATTCATAAAATACTATAGTATCATATATTTAAAATATTGTTACTTTATTCTGTAGGTTGCTGCTAAAATCTTTTATCTATTTATTTATTGCTTATTTACACGTATTATTTATTTAATATTTATTTATTCAGTTGTTAGTTAACTATTAAGTTAATCTTAATGTTAATTTACACTTAATCAATTTAGTGTTAATTTGCAAATAGTCTGTTTAGATTTTGTATTTTTTTCTCTTTTTTCCTTAAATCTTTTGTTTATTGTTAGATCTGCATTGTTGTTGACAAGTTGTGTTATGCTGGGCGAGATAGGTGAGATCGGGCCTGGAGCATAATGGCAAGCATTGCTCTTTGTACATACATGGGATGTATAAGTATGAAATAAAAATCAAACTATCTAAGCAATAATAATAAGGGGGATACGATGCCATGAAATGAGAACCTACGCAGTATATACACCTAAAAAAAAGCGGATGCTCGATTTAAAGCTGATATTTATGAAAAAAAATCAAATTATCGTCTAATTTTTACCGACTAGACCTAAACTCGGAGGTTTTACGGGTTGCGCATTGTTCGACACTCAAAGAAGTTATCACCGAATAATATAGACTATATGCATATGTCTCTATGCAGCTCATTTTCGGCAGAACTTATTTCTATCTAAAAAGCGTTATCGTAGGCTTCTAATCTAACTTCCATAAAAATTGGAATCTTTACAGACAGCATCAGCACTGTAATTCAACTTTGCAATTTTAACCGTAACAATAGATGTGATATTCTATTCAAAGTTGTTAGTAATATTTTTACACTTACAGAAAAAGTAACAAAAAATATTCATATGCTGGGTTAAGGGAAACGCATTAAACATAATGAAATAATAGTTGTTTTGGCCAAGGAGGCAATCACTAATCGTGCCATGTTGGAGACTCGAACTTTTTCAAAAAGGGAAATGTCACAAAATGGCAAGATATACATGAAGCATATTAAGAAGTTCTTTTTCCCAGATTCCAAATAAACCATGGTTTCAAGGTGGAGGAAGGGAAAAGTTCTCTACGATCCCACACTTAACGACCTGCCCTGGCATCGTTCGATTCTATTTGTATAAAATTAGTCTGAGAGCTGCCTCTAATTGTGAAAGATGTAGAGCAGCGGAGAATCGTAGGTATTTGTTATTCTCCTGCGAAAAAAGAAACAGAACGAAAGTGGTTCATAAGATCCAGCTGGGCAATTCCAAACATAAAGCTTTTTCAATTTGAGTTCCTTACTAGCTTCGGGCAGTAGGGAAACATATGGTTGGTTGAACGAATTTCCCAAGGACTGCAACATAAACATTTCAATGCAGTAATGTGCATGTCCTGTTATTTATTTTTCCTTGTTCTGAATTTATTTATTGAGTATTTACTTGCAACCGAATGGTTGTTTGCTCTCAATTTATAATGTTATGCATATTTATTTATTCGTACTTGCAGATAACAGTGTGAAATCACGTTACTGATTGACCTGAAAATGTTAAGCCTTTATATGATCATTAATTATGTGTGCTGTTTAGTGACCGTTAGTTTACGGGATATAAAAACATTTTCTTTATCGTGCTAACGTTTCGATCTTTATTGAGATCATCTTTAGGACCTTGTAATGCCTGCATTTCGACAAAAAGGTTACAACAAAATGTTTTTAAGAAATGCTAACCGTAGCAAAAAAAAAGAATGTACGGAAGCGGGAAACAAAGACGTACGTGACTCTCGGCAGCAAGAGTGCAAGTTACGACGGGAACCAAGCTAAGAGGGAAGCAGTACTTTATCGGCCCATTTAGAGAACCATGAACCTTTATGCCAATTACATTGGCTTAAACGCACGTATTATTATTCTTACGCAATAGGGGGAAATGACAATAATTAATAATGAATATTTAGAGACCGTGAGATGCGGTCTGGTGTGATGTACGTTTAGAAAAACATTTTATTTGTCGTGATAACGTTTCGATCTTTATTTAGATCATCTTCAGGGCTCCAATTGTCGGTTTTCTGTGTAGATGTGTCATTGCTATGAGTCATGTTGCCCCAATCATTAATTAACGTTCACTAAATACCACACACACCAAAGATAATGTTGCGTATAGGCAACTTTGGGACGAAACGGGGTAAGTATACTAAGTATTAAGTAGCAAATACTCTTTAAATTCACTTGAATTAAAAAATAAAAATTAAGTTAAAAAACAAGAGAAAGCTGTCCGTGCTTTCCTTTTCTTTCCCCTACGAACATGGAAGGACGGGAAAACAACGGTTCTTGTGAGAAAAACTAATTTTTCGTCATCTTTGTGCGATCTGGTGTTGATTTTTTTCTCGGAAGTAATATACCAATGGAATGATGTACTCGAGGTTTAGAAGCATAAAGAAATTTAAAAAATGATAACACCTTGTTATTGGGGGCGGGGGAAAGACGGGGTATGCGTGTTATGTCTATGTTGTCGGTAACATTCATCCTCGCCGAAGGCAATGCTGAGACCCAAACGAACCTCCAATCAGTTCGCCAAAATTTGAAAAACAAAAATGAACAAGGAAAAGACCCCTGGGCACACCTTATCCCTTTCCCCTGGTCATCTAAACCTCCCAAAGTTATGCCAAGCCTCTTTTCTCAATATATAAATTTATTTTGAATATCACACTAATTTTCAAGTTAGAATGGCCTCAAAGAGGACACAAAGTAGGGAAAAGTCACGTCTGGGCAAGGCAGAAGAAGACACATTTTGATATTTGAATGAATTTTTTCTAATTAAATACAGGACTTTTTTAAATTAGGACTATGTGTCCATCGAAGAACAAGTTGAAAATGATTGAGATAATTTTTTATAATCAACTCATAGGATGGTTATGGATGGATGATCAACTAGTAGGAAGTCAAAAATTTTCTTGCGCAGTGTTTGGTTGGCCCTTTCTGAATAAATGACTCATATATAAACTCATATTCCTATAGAAAAACATATTAATTATATTAATTATTGTCTTACTTAATATAAATAAATTGGTCCGAATCGCTGAAGTTTGAAAAGACGAAGACAC